CAAAACTACAAATTTGCACTGATGTAAACAAAACCATTTCAGACAAAATTCCAGTCGAAACGCCAGTTTGTAAAAAAAACTTATTTTTTAGGCTATCATCACAAAAACGTTGATTTTGTGGTCGCTTTTGCGGCCATAAAGTTTAACTTTATTGTACGCTTCTGTCAAACTTTACTTTATTGTACACATCTGTCAAACTGTACCTACTTATTTGAAACTGATGTGTGAGAAGCAGTAATCTGTTTGATACAAAGCGTCTATCTGGTTTAGCCCCATCAAGGATTGGGTCATCCACGTGCGTTTTTTTCATTTTCGGACTTGTAGGAATGTTTCACACTATTTTGCATAATCACAATGTTCACATTTAAAATTATAGTTTGACGTTTCAATCTTTGCTGCTTGCAGACCTTTTTGAAGTGTAGAACCAAAACATGAGGAAGATGTTATTGCTTACATTATTATACGAAGAATCACCAGCAATTAACCGAGAACACAAGTAGCTACCTATACCTACCATCAAAGTAGGTAATCAGGTTTCTAATAATTGTACAGCATGTTTACTATAAGGTCTTGGAAGCCACAGTTACGAAGGACCTATTGCATTTGACATTATTAAAATCTTGTGCAACGGAGGAAGTTGCGATTGTACTTTTACTCTCAAACGCCTGCTCTTATATCATTCATATATGACTTAGGGTCGCAACGCTTGCAGCTTCCCAAATTTCATTTGGGGTATCTGAACTGTCGCTATCACCCATTTTCATACGCACAAAACACGCAAAGATGCTAATTATAATTACATATGACAGGAAATGCTTTGTTTTTAATTGTCTAAGATAACTATGATTTTCAGAAAAAATATGTTTATGAGCAAATTTTTGAATTTTTTTTTGATGATCGCCTAAAAAATGTTGTGTGCACCTTGGCCAAAAGTGATTTGTTAGGCCTCATCTGAATTGCGGCCTCGGCCACAAACAGCAGCTTCGGCCAAAAAAGATCACTTTTACGGCCTTGGTACACAAATAACTATTCCGAACCCGAAGACCGTTTCTGACGCAGTTGCACATAGTACACCTCTTTTTACAGTCACAGGTAATTAGTTCTTCACAACTATATCCGGAATAGTAGACCACAATGGCTGAAACCAGTCATTAGTTCTTTCGCATCCCCAGATCGGCTTGGAGGGTGGCTCGTGGACATAAATTTGACATGTCTAATATTTGTTCTCTTTGACATATTTTGGAGTTAAATGGATGTATTCCAGAGTTTTCGAATCCACTCATTGTGTTCGACGCAATGAATCCACGAGGAATAGCATCCTTTACACATTCAGGAATGTTGTAGAGTGTAACGGTTTTCTTGGATTGGAAATCATCAAATTTGTGATGTCCAGTAGCGTCATTGTATTTAGCAGAAGCCTAACCAACCAAATCATCATTTCGGTCGCGCTAAGTTTCAAGTCAAAAGTGGTGGTTCGTGTCTTCTCTACGCTCATATGTTCCGTACTCCCCTTCTCGCTATCGAAATAACGTGATAGTATCGTCACTTAGGACTGTCTGACTCTCTGATACAACCGTCGCCCGTGTAGTGAGGCGCAACAGTTATAAGAGGGGAGGGGGGTAGCGAATTTTCTAGAACGTTGTCAGGACTGTTAATTAAATTTATTGTTAATAGTCTTATCCCTGTGGACAATTTATATAAATAAACATTTACATAAACCACGTATTAAATTAAATTTACGTTACCTTCAACTTTTTTGTTTGTTCTTTTTTATGTTTTCTTCTTATATTCAAATTTAAATTACTTTACATTGTTCTTGTCCTTTTCTAATTTATGTACCTATAGCTTCTGAACGCCCCGAGCAATTCCAACGTAAAGAAGGTTATTATCCATTGTGATTAATGAGATGGGAACCTTTACAAGTAGATATTCCTACTACAAACCGGCAAAGCTACAAATACTATATAACTGTCGTAATTACAATATGTAGGTATCTACAGGTAATTGTAAAGATAATTATAATTATACCTATATAATAAATATATAAGTCCAATTATGCGTAGGTAAGTTTCGCAAGTTATGTGTAGAGGACATAAAGTATTATTCAATGGTAATGCACAATTTTATTACTGGATGCAAAATTACTAAAGGTAGTGATTCATTGTATGTACCAGGTATTCCCCTTATTTTACACTACATATCTAATTTTTTTTAATACCTACACATCGTTGAGTAAGTAATTTACTTATTGTTCCCTGGGTGACAGAACAGTAATATTTTTTTTCCATTGTATCTATGCAAGTAGGTACTGATGAATTTAATAGTGTTATCTAATTATACTCATACCGGGAAAATGATTACCTATATGTAGGTGATGTCTATTTTTAACCGAAGTTCCACATAGAAAGTCACCTAAAATTGCTAAGGTTTGCCATTATTTAAGCAAAATTACCCAAAACTTTCAAACAATTTGTGCTAGAGCTTGGGACCGACAAGATGCTCTAAAAAATGTCTTCCGTTCAATGTGGAGAACCTTTTTCCTCCCATCGCGAAACATACGATAACAAATATTTACACGTAGATATCTCAATATATAAAAGATCCCCGTCGTCATTGTCTGGCAGTTAACGGAGTGGAATGACATTTTTTATGGAAGAGGATATTGCGCGATAGTGGACTCTGCGTATCGTTAAAATGATTACCTTTTACTCATTATCGTTTCTTATTCTTCTTGTATGTCAAGTGTTGGTTCTGTGCGGTGAGGTGGTCTCAGATTAATTTTGTTTTACTTAACTATAAGCAATCCCACAGATATTCGATCGGTAATATCGGCAAATTTTGAAAAGTGGCACTGCAAAACTATATTACTCAAAACAATCTTTCGTTACCAGAACAATGTGCCAGACCATGCGATGGGTCGAAAAGGAGGTGCTACTACAACTTCTATTTGGAACAGTATGCCACACAAACCAGGTTGAGTATTTCTTCCCGGTCCCGGCTCCGGCATTTAAAGATACTAAACATTCATTGTAGAGCTTGTCACTACTGCTTTCCGAATGGTACAAATAACTGCCAGTGCATCATCGCCGATGGCGTTGATAGGAGTGTTACTGTCGCAAATCGTAGGCTTCCGGGGCCTAGTATTGAAGTCTGTGAAGGCGATGAGGTAGTTATAGATGTTGAAAACCACCTGGAAGGTTCTGACGTAACAATTCATTGGCACGGTTTATATCACCATGGCACCCAATATTATGACGGAGTCCCTTTCGTTACCCAATGTCCCATACTGCAAGGGAACACATTTCGGTTAGAATTATTGAAAAATAATTACTATACTCAGTCTATACCAATTTAGGTACACTTGGACCGCCACTCACCCCGGTACGCACTATTGGCACTCTCATACCGGATTTCAAAAGATGGATGGTCTAACTGGGAGCATTATAATACGCCAACCCTTGGCTGTAGACCCCCACAGCAAGTTGTACGATTTTGATCTTAGCGAACATGTAATGTTCGTGCAGGACTGGATACACGAATTGGCCGGTAATCGATATCCTGGATGCATGAAACCTGACGAAACCCACCTAAAGTCCACATGCCATGCCGTGAGCCAAATACCGGACAACATACTTATCAATGGAAAAGGAGTGTATGAGGGTTTCAAAGCTAAAAATAACATAGCGGCCTTGGAGGTATTTAAAGTTTTCACTGGACGAAGATATAGATTTAGATTAATCGGCGCTATTTCATTAGCTTGTCCAATTCAGGTACGCGTAAAAAATCACGCTTTAACCGTAATTGCTAGCGACGGTGAACCCCTACAACCTGTGCAGGTCGATCGAATTATTTTAACCTCTGGTATTACACCGTTGGTGCATTTTACGCTTTCTGTAGTTTATTTGTAGGCGAAAGATACGATTTTATCATTCATACAGATAATGAACCTGGACATTACGATATCGAGGTTCAAGCAGTTGGCCTGTGCACCGATCTAGGCATTAGTCAGGTGGCTAAATTGGAATACATTGACGAATGCTTAACCAACTCAGTTACTAGCAATTGGCTTCCTATAGGAAAGGTAAACCACTTTTTTAGTGCACGAAATCTTCATTTACCACTTAGGTATATCATTCTTTGGATTCAAACTGTGATGAAACTCAAGAAAATGCAATTTGTGTAAGTGAATTACATAGTGCAAAACAGATTGATGAGGGGATTTTGAAAGTGGAACCGGATGTCAAACTGTTTTTACCTTTCAGCCTTTACACCTACGAAGATGAAGAATTATTTAATCGGAATGAATTTAACAATTTCTTTGGTAAAGAATAGAATTTTCGGAAATATTTAATTGTGAATGGATTTTAGTACCGTTAGGTGGCGATCACATGGCCGGATTAATGAATAACATTTCTTATGTGCCACCACCATCCCCATTACTATCGCAATTCGCCGAACTAAATCCTAATCAGTTCTGTACTAACTTAAAGATGGACTGCCAAGGCATGTGTAGATGCACACATTTGCTGAAACTTCCCTTAAACGGAGTAATTGAGCTAATTCTGATAGACCAACGTAACTCGGCGTGAGTTTTTAGACCTTTATATAATATGCTTTTTTTTAGTGAAACAACCCCACCTTGTCCATCCATTTCATCTACACGGACACACCTTTTACATTCTTGGAAGTGGTAGGATATCCAACGTAAACGAAAGCATCAGTTTAGAAAAGGTCATGCTTATGGACGATAACAATCAACTTTACAGTGGAAACGACCACCCACCTTCTAAAGATACCGTCTCGGTACCCAATAATGGATACGTTGTCATCAGGTTTAGAGCAAATAGCCCCGGTTTTTGGTTATTTCACTGTCATTTTTTAAATCATCTGCTAACTGGTATGTCGATAGTACTTCAAATTGGCGATCCCTCCGATTTTCCACCGGTTCCCAAAAATTTTCCAAGGTGTGGAGACTTTATACCGGAAATTTAGATCCGTTGATCAAGTTGATCGAACTACAGCATTGTTAATTGTTCTTAATTTATTGAATGCATGTGTATTTATGCAGTGGATTATGTTTATGATAGTTATAATATTATAATAATATAAGAAGCAATTGCTATCCTCAGAAATGTGTCATTCTGAGACTGGATATAAATTAATCCGTTGTTGATGTTGATTAATATTGATGTTCTTAAAATAAAACTAGTATAAAGGTTTCACGACCGCCCTAATGTATGTGCATGTCCTCTATTGTATCAAATTCAATATGTAGGTACTTGCCGCTTAAATAGGATAACCATGGCATGCGCGTCTGGATACCGTAATAAAGGAACTAGCAATTTGATGGTGGGACTTTTTTAGCGCATTTCCACAAAAATTAAAAAAATGCGCTATTGTGGCCACTTTGTCCGTCCGCTCGTTTTGAGACGCTACTAGTTCTTTATCTTAAGAGCTATTGTTATACTTTTTTCGCTATTTGGTTCGTTATGGTGTCGAGGCTTGCACTAAGGAAGGAATTTTTTCTGTACCGCTTACAAAAAAAGTTATTGTAAAAAAAACAAAAAACCGTTTTTTACATGTTCCATAATTTTACACTTTTGCCGTTTATTAACGATCCTAGAGATTGTTTATAATTTTGTATTGCTGTCTGTCGTCTGTCTGTTGGTCTGTCCGTCTGTTCCTTTGTCTGTCTGTCCCTCTATCTGTCCGTGTGAACGATAACTTTGTTTAGATAATGTCCGATCGCTTTTACATCTCCGTTAGTTATTAACTGAATTGCATGAAATTCAATATGGGCATAGCTTTAGCCATATAATACGCAATGCCCAAAGTTGAATCGAATCGATTCAAAATTCACAGTGCCCTTTTCGCATCTCGACCATTTATAAACCGAATTGCAAACTTTTTTACTTATAAAAGTATTTAAATGAAATTTGATACATAGGTGCTTGGAATAAAGGAAAATCTAGCGCCAGTTTCAAAAACTTATTTTGCGCCTGCGCAGTGCCAACTTTTTTTATCTATGAAAGCATTTAATTGAAATTTGATACTCAGGCGCTTGGAACAAAGGAAAATCTAACATTAGCTTCAAAATTTAGGTTTGCGCATGCGCAGTTCTAATTTTCTTATTTAGAAAAGCATTGAAATGAAATTCTTCTTATAAACTGAAATTGAAGTAGCACGTCAAAAATGGATTGGAAATTTGCAACGCTATCTTTCATATTTGTAGCCGGATTTTTACGATTTTAACAGAAGTTGCATTTTGCAGATGGAAAATGAATGCAAGTGGAAATGCGCTTTCATATCCCCTATACTAATTTTGTAATTTTTTAGCTTTCAATAAAAATAACCAACAAATACAGATTTATAATTTTATTTGCTTTTATTATTTGCTATAAAGTATGTAAAATATATCAATTTATTAATTTTAATAAATAAATAAACATCAGGTTAACCTTACAAATTTCATTGCTCCTTGTATAGTACGGGTATTAGGAAGTCAACCGTCTGCCGCCTCAGGTCATGTTACTTAACTAAGAGGCGGGTGGCTTTTAAAATGAGAGGCTGCTTACTATATGATGGACGACATTTATCAAAAATAATCAATAGATATTTGAAGACTATAGTCGATCTGAAATGCTTTTAGACTAAGGCAGACGATCTTTAAGAATTAGGTCTACCAAACAGTATATAACGAATACATACGTATACGTTATATATAAATAGGGCAGTGTTTTTCTTTAATTTTTTCTCTAATTATCAGATATCTTATAATAATAAGATAATCTCACAATTAGAGAAAAAATTTAAAAAAGAAACACTGTCAAGTCATTGGCAGTACCTACCATTACTTTGTAAAAAAAATGAGCTTCATTCATCCAACCGAAAGTTCGTACAAAACCATGAGAGGTTCCACCCTGTATATACAACTTACGACGATACATACATTTTTGAGAGTTGGCAACCATGCAATTTCTGGGTGGGAAAAAGCTGCCTGCGCCACCTCGAAAGCACGAACGGGAGTTACGTTTAGCATCTTGCCTTGAATGGCGGTCGTGAACGCGTCGCTCCATAAATGTTTGTTATTATTTTGTGTTATTTAATGCAGGTAGTAATTTTTGCATTTCTTTATATCGTATTTGAGTTTTGTATGCCGCATTTTATATTTGTTGTTTGAATCTCTGTTTTTGAAATTTACTTGGTTTAACCACAATGCAGAATCATATGTGTGATACCGTTATGTTATTATTTGTAATTGTTTACATTTTTGGTGTAATGTTTGCTTAATTTATGTTTATTGATGTTGATTACCTACTTGGTCTTGTCCCTGAAGTAACATTCATGTAAGTTTAATTACTGATTCGTTTGATGTATGTACTGGCTTGTTGTATGTTACTAACAATTTTCTCCGTGAATGAAGCAGTCACGGGGGTGGTAAAAACTGTAGTCAAATTTGTGTTACGACACACCTAATTCCGTGATTGTCTTCGACATCCAACTGTAGGTTCGAAACCCCGAAACCAGGGGCGGACTACCCATCTTGCAGGAGCGAGATTACGCTAATCAAAGCTCTTCAGTTTAGAACCTATGTGCGTTAAATGAGTGTCGATTCAATAATTTCCACATATCTTGTTTTTAGTCAAATTTGCCTACAAGGACATGTAATTTTCCATCTTGCTTTCAACAAAAGGACTTTATTGCATCAAAGATGAGTCACATCCTGTGTATTTCACCCTTTCTCAGAGTCTTGGTACCTGCTACTACCTGACCCATTGTCCCCAAAAACTTGCTTTTAACCTTGAGTGTAACCAACATTGTGTATATGCATTTACTATCTTTGTTAACTACTGTTTAAACTTTTACAAAATATTTTGTTAATTAATTTTTGGACTGTTTTAATCAAACTGCAAGATTTTTCTTCGTCGTACTCTTTTTACCCTTGGCAGTGACTTGCGAGAATACGACACCTTTTGGGTTTGTTTGTTTTGTTTATATTAATGTACATCAACTAAATTTCCGGGTTTTCACAATCATAATAATTACGATCATTATTAAACAAACTTTTCACAATTTTAGTGTTTTATTTAACGTTGCTTCCCTACTGTGCTTCAGATCAAAGCGTTTATTTATTTATTTATTTATTGTCCCTCTTGTTCTAGGCCCTCAACAGGCTTACAACTAACGTAAGGGGGCCAGGGCTTAGATGTTTTATCACGTGCCACTTTTCAAATTTAAGCGGGATCTTGTTTAGTTTTAAAGGTGCCATTCACATGCGGATATGTACGGCGGACATGTACGCGGGACAGATCCGTATCAATTCGTATGTGTGAATCCGCGTGTTCGGCGTACATATCTTGCTCGCCATCCGTCGATCAGGACGACGAGCACGTATTATAAGTATTGTAATCCAATGTTTACTTGTAGAACACCCTGTATATAATGAAAGTAGTTAAGCTCACTTGTTCTGTGGTTAGGATGTACCTTTTGCTTTGAGATAACGATGTCGTTTTTAGTTTTGTACTTGCATTACAAATAAAGAGTGTGTTTGCTTATATTCTTGTCTGTCATATCAAAGTAATTAAAGTGCGTAAAGATAATAGCACGGACAGCGAGCCCGACAAATACGCACATGTGTAGTCGTTTCACGGATTTGTTTGCCGGACATAGAATCACAAAATAGGAACTTCTTGAAAATATGTTTGGAAATTAAAAGACCTGTATTGAGAAGACACTCTTTAACTTGTTAAAGATGATTTATTAATCCAAACACAGGAATAATCACATGCTTATTACAACTAATGAGGTTAGGTTCCACTGGCCGCATTCCACAACCACCAACCTAACAACAGTCAACAGAGAACTTATATTATACATCTTTCCTCTTTAAAATAAAGCTTATAAATCTAACATTTTGGGTTTTTTAATAATACGACCGGACACCTTGGATTTCAAAGCAGGTGGGTTTGACGCGGATTCGTAATTAGAGCTAGACTGAGCATTATTGAGAGGGCTCTCTATTTCTAAGCTAGACCTTTTTGATTGCTGCACTAAGTCAGACGACGATTCATGCTTTGAAATATTAATGTCACTATTGGCTTGCAGAGAACAGTTACGGCTATTTAACATATCAAAATCGTTGTTTACAACAGACTTATAACTATTCAATGACTCTCTTATGTCAAATCTATTCCTGATAACTACCGCACCATTCTCATCTAACACTTTATAGGACCTAGGATTTTGTGCAATATCTATGATTTTTCCCGGTGTCCATGTTTTGTCAATATGGTTGAAAACTGTCACATTTTGATCAGGTTTCAAAGTCTTTAGATCAGTGGCAGTCTTGTTGTAATATTTTTCGTTATTCGCTAGTCTTAATTGAAGTTTTTCTCTAACACCTTTACATAAAGTTGGTTTCAACAGGTCTGCTGATATAGGCAGTTTAGTCCTACAAATACGACTCATTAACAATTGTGCTGGGGAGTAGTCCAAGTACTTAAGAGGGGAATTCCGATATTGGATTAAGGCATCAAATATATCTTTACCCTCCTCTAATGATTTTTTTAATAATTTTTTTGCAATATCCACAGCTTTTTCCGCCAAGCCGTTGGACTTTGGATAATTTGGACTACGACAAACCACATTGAAATTCCACTCTTTACTGAATTCTCCAAACGAATAACTATTAAAGGGTACATTATCACACACTAAGGTGTCTGGGGAACCAAATTTTGAGAAAATACTTTTTAATTTTTGAATTACCTCGTGAGCAGATTTATTTTTAATTGATACTAGCTCAAGCCAACTTGAATATGCATCCATTGTTACCAAATAAGAATTATTTCCATAAGAAAAAATATCAGCACCAATTCGTTCCCAAGGGCGATCAGGGACAGGATAAGATTTAAGTGTTTCTTTTACATTTTTACGTGCATACTTCTCACAAACTTTGCATTTTTTTATAAACAATTCAATTTCTTGACTCATAGATGGCCAATAGAAAATTTGTCTAGCTCGAGCTTTAACTTTCTCAATCCCCAGGTGTCCCTCATGAAGTTTAATTAACATCTCGGGTCTCAGACTTTTAGGAACCACTAGTTTATGATTAAAAAACAATAAGCCATCAGACATAAATAATTCACCTCTGAGTTTATAAAAATGACGCGCAGACAATGGAATTTGCCCTTTTTTCGAAGGCCACTCGGAATTGAGGAAATTAATAATAGTTTTTAACTGCTCATCACTCCTTGTGGTTTCTTTAAATAAATTCTTTTTTTCTGCAGACATTGGTAAATAATTTGTAAATGAATGTACGTAATACTCTAAATCTGTGTTCTCTACTGTATCGCCACTAGTCAAAAAGGCGCGAGATAGTGTATCCGCAATATATAAATATTTTCCTGGCTTATAAGTCACTTTTAAATCATAGTTTAATAACTGTAACAACATGCGTTGCAGTCTAGGTGATACAGTTGGTAGGCTCTTTTTAAAAATTGACTCTAGAGGTTTGTGGTCTGAACAGACTCTAACATTTTTGACGCCAAAAATAAAATAGTGAAATTTTAAGCAGCTAAATAAAATTGCTAACAATTCTTTTTCGATTTGGGCGTAGTTAAACTCACTTTTTGTCAAACTCCGAGATGCAAAGGCTATTGGGTGCCCATTTTGAAGCAAACAAGACCCAATGCCATCCTTTGATGCGTCCGTCTCAATTTCAATGGGTAGTGACGGATTAAAAAATGCAAGAACTGGCGCAGTTGTTAACAAATGTTTCAATTTAGATAGTGATTGGTCATGCTCATCAGTCCAAGTCCATCCAACATCTTGCCTTGTCAAATTGCGAAGGGGGGCAGTTACTTTAGACATATTTGGGATAAACTTGCCTAAAAATTTGGCCATGCCCAATAACCTCAAAAGATCAGACTTACTTTCTGGTTTTGGCATATCAATGATGGCAGAAATGTATGATGAACATGGCTTGACACCAGTATACTTGTACGCCCTTAATATCTCCAAAAAGTTCAAAATTCTTGCGTTGAAACACTTCAGGGGCAGAACTAATACCAAATGGAAGCCGACAAAATTGATAGCGACCAAAAGGTGTTCCAAATGTGCAATAATCAGATGACTGATTGTCAATTTTAACTTGAAAGTAGCCATCTTTCATGTCAAGTACAGTAAACACAGCTTTATTATTTAGCTCAGCAGCAATTTCCTCAGCTGTGGGAATTAAAAAGTGCTCACGCTGTATATTCTGATTTAGAAACTTTGGGTCTAGACATAGCCTCAAATCACCATTTTTTTTTTCTACGATCACCAACGGATTTAACCATTCAGTTGGTTTTTCAACTTTTCTTATGATACCCTGGCTTTCAAGATCAATTAATTTATGTTTTACTCGCTGATGAAGTGCTTGAGGTATGCGCCTGACTGCCTGAACATGTGGTAAATAATTTTGTTTTAAAACAATTTTATGTTCACTTGGAAAACAACCTAATCCAGAAAAAACTTGAGGATATATTCTTACAATGTCCTCGACGTTATTAAATTGCCCTATTTTTGTCAAATCCTTAATTGTGTCAATCCTCTTAATTAGATCTAAAGCTAAACATTCTTTTAACCCTAACAGAGGCATCTGATTGTTACTATCAACTATGACAAAAGGTAAGCATGCAAATTTATCATTAAGTTCACAATTCAAATTAATTTCTCCAATTGGATTAATTTTAAAATCCGAGTTACCATAAGCAATTAAAGTCATATTAGTCTTTTTTAATTTAACCTGCCTGTTAATTTTATGCAAAACATTAAGAGGAATTACACTGACCTCTGCTCCAGTATCTAGCTTAAACTCTATTAGTCTACCTCCGATTTTGATCTTCTTGCGCCACATAACTTCACCACTGGACCGAATGCCGTCAACTTTTTTCACTAGAGAACTTACATAAAAATTATCCTCGCTGCACTCACTTTCATCACTATTCTCCACTTTCACTTCGTTCACTCGTTTTCCATTTTTGTTTCCATAGCTTGTACGGGCCTCCTTTCCTTGATCCTTCCTCCTACACACACTCGCAAAGTGGTTTTTTCCATTGCATTCTCCGCACACTTTACCGAAAGCCGAACATTTGCCTTTGGTATGGTTGTAGCCACAATAGCCACACCTCTTCTTTTCTAGATTATTAGGCACAAGTTCATTTCTATCTCTCTTCTTCTGCATCTTAATGGCACTTACAGAGGCTTCAGTTTGCAGTGCCTTTGCTTGAAATTTGCTTACCTCAATGGCCCTGCAAAAATTCACAGCTTTCTCTAAGGTAAGGTCCTTTTCACGCAGCAGCCTTTCTTGTGTCGCTTTGTCAAAGATCCCCATTACTATACGATCCCTTACCATATCCAGTGGGTCAGCATATTCTGTAGTTTTCACCGCAATTTTGAGGTCTGTTACAAAGCTATCAAAAGTTTGTCCCTCTTTTTGAACCAACGAATTAAAAACAAATCTCTCATAAATTACGTTCTTTTGAGGGGCACAATGGTCCGCAAACTTCTTTTTGATTTCTTTCAGGGACTCCTTTTCCGCGGCTGTCAACGTAAACGAGTTGTAGATATCTAATCCGTCTTCTCCAACTAGACTTAAAAACACAGCAATTTGTTTTTTTTGATCCTTTGAATCTAAGTCGGTCGCAGTCATAAATAAGTCAAATCGTTGTTCAAATTTTTTCCAATTATCGGCAAGATTGCCTTGTATGTTTAACGCATCCGGCGGCTTAAACAACGACTCCATCATTCTCCGGGGCTCAATCTAGTTTACCTGACACCATGTATTGAGAAGACACTCTTTAACTTGTTAAAGATGATTTATTAATCCAAACACAGGAATAATCACATGCTTATTACAACTAATGAGGTTAGGTTCCACTGGCCGCATTCCACAACCACCAACCTAACAACAGTCAACAGAGAACTTATATTATACAACTGGGTAACAAGGAGAAGAAGACCTGCTGCTGCGTCTCTGCTACTTGCTGCTGGAAGTGCTGGATGTCTACGAACACAGATTAAAAAACAAAAAAGATGGTGGATAAGACCCTGGCTAGTAGATAAGAATGAAGGAGGGCTAAAACTAGCTGCACATGGTTTTAAGAGAGACATCGGCCAATTTAAAAAGTTTCTTCGGATGTCGGAATCTACTTTAAATAAATTATTAAAATTAGTGACACCTAAAATAGCGAAATCGGATACATTTTTTAGAGAGGCTGTTAGTGCAAGGGACAAATTGATCATTACATTGCGATTTCTTGCAACGGGAGAATCATATAGAAGTTTAATGTACAACTTCAGGATATCTGAATCAACGATATCCTTGTTTATTCCAATTGTTTGTAGAGCAATCTATGACGTTTTAAGAACAGATTACTTAAAGGTAACATTTTTAATTTTTTATAATTTTCTGTAGGTTTCATTTTTTTAGACACCAACCACTGCAGCAGACTGGCTTAACATATCAAAAGAATTTGAAACTATTTGGAATATTCCTAATATTATCGGTGCTTTAGATGGCAAACATATTGTATTTAAACCTCTGAGAGATGAGGGTTCCACGTACTATAATTATAAGGGTACACACAGCATCGTCCTTCTTGCACTGGTAGACGCAAAATATAATTTAAATCTATGTGGATGTTGGAGTGAATGGCAGAGTTTCTGATGGTGGAGTGTATAGGCAGTCATCATTAGCAAAAGCTATAGCACAGAACTCTTTAAACATACCCGAGGATAAACCTTTACCAGGAAGACGTGTACCAATTCCACATCTCTTTCTAGCTGATGCTGCTTTCCCGCTGTCAGATCATATTTTGAAACCCTACCCATTTAGAGGTATGACAGATGATCAACGGATTTGCAACTACAGGATAAGTAGAGGAAGAAGAGTAGTTGAACTTCGGAATACTAGCGAATCGTTTTAGAATACTTCTATCAAGGATAAATTTAATGGATCCAGAGAAGGTGCAAGTGATTTCTTTAGCGTGTTGTGCTCTCCATAACTTTTTACGAGCAGAAAGTCCTCAGTTTGCAGATCAGCAAGATGTAGACAATAATTATACGTTTAAATATGGTCTGTCACGCCAAAGTGGAAACAGAGTTAAAATGTCGTGTATATTAGTTCGAAATGAATTTAAAGAATATTTTTTAAATGAAGGGGCTGTTCCCTGGCAATATGATAGATATTAAGCTTACTTTATGTATACCTATATATTTATAAACGCAGTACATACATATTTAATGCACTTAATTCAAATTATTTTCCTCGTCATTTAACGCCTCATCTATTAATTGTTGTATTCTTCTTCGTAGAGTTCGAAATCTTTGTTGATTTGCAATTTGTTTCATATCGTTAACAACCATTCTAAAAAAAAGACCCTGTGAATAATTAGTTACAAGTTATGAGCAAGACACTTACAACCCAAAAGCATCCACAGCATCCATCGGTGGTGGCGGGTTCTGTGTCTCAGCTAATATGGCTGCAGCCTTTTCCATTACATCCGCAACTGGATTTCCCTTCCGTTTTTTACGTGGGGGTTCTGCCGACGTAGCTCTGGATACAGGCGAGTCTGTGCAGCTTATGTAATCGTCTGTAATTGTTACGCCACCTTGGTTTAACTCGTCCACTGTTCCCTCAAATAAGATTTCTTCTTGTGTGTTGTTTTCTGATTCAGTATTTCTTAGATTTGACTCTCCTCGTGTAACAGGAGTCGCATCGCTTAAAAACGAGAGCATCTCGTAGCACCACCATCTAGGTGTACTTCATCCGTCCCTGCTCCGCTATGCTTGCTCTTCTCGACTTTATTTTTTTCACTAAAATATTGCGTCCGTAATGCATTAATTTTCTTTTTAATTTCTTCTAGTGTCAAAATTACATCGAATTGAGTTTGGAATTCATTTAGAATTTCTTGTAGTGCCATTAGCCGTCGTGTTTTGTTTTTATAGCACCTCTCTACTTTGATACAAAGTAATCAAACCTGTTATTTGCTCTCTCGTATATGTATAGGTATCCTGGAATAGATGAGTAATTATTATTGTATTTCATTTATTGTTCTGGCATTTTTGCTTACCTTTCCACAACTACTCTTCTCGTTTTTATTAGACATTTTTTCGGGTAAAATGTAAACATAAACATATAGTCATAACCTCACTCTCTCTGATATACTTAAACAAAAATTTGTTGCTTGGTAGCACTGAACTTCACGGTAAAATTGGCGAAAAATAGAACATGTTTTAATTTCGTGAATTTATTGGACGTCAAAGTTGGTATATTACATTATACAATTTCTTCATGAAGTAACTTCATGAATTAATTCATGAAGAAATTGACAAGTGTAATGCTAGCTTTATAGAGTAAGTCTTACTTAATATTAGTTCATACATTTTTAACGGTTTAAAAGCCTCTTTATGTTTCCTGCCCAAAAGGCTAAATTCTGCGCCATATCTGTTCGTGATCATCTTCTCAGTACATCTATATATATAAAATCGTGTGACGTTATTTTATTTACCGTGTAATCTTTGCGTTGGCTTATATTTGAATTACTATGTGGAATCCCTCTCGAATAACATTATGTGAGCTCTTACCTTTATATAGCAATCCTTACGCCATCTAGGTGTTCACATTATAACCCGATCCTTTATTTGCGATATAGGTTTCTTTTAAAAAACCTTTGGTCTAGTTTTCTGTTGATTGGCGCGGTTATTCTTCTCCCACTCACTGACGACGCGCGCAGTCCTTGTTGAAGAAATCGATTCGATCTTGACTTGTATTTGAGCTACACGCCATTACACTTACTTGACATATTCTTCTACCTTTATTGGGATTAATTAGTGGTGTTGTACTAAGATTAATGAAGTTTTCTCTTATCATCTTACTTCCAATTTCGCTGATGACGCATTGCTGCGGATTTATCTTACAAGTTTAAGGCCGTTTTGCGGTATGTTATCTATGACGCATTATCTTTTTATTTTAAATAATCTATTTTAGGCTACTTTCGTACTCCCTAAGTTTTATTACTTCTTATTTTGGTTTTACCAATTGCTTCCTGACTGTACATTGATATTTTGACGTGGAAACGCAAATACCCGATTTTCCATATGGTGCAATAGAATTCCATTGAAGTTTCGACGCCATTACAATCAAACACGCTCTACATATTTCTACCTTACCGACTGAAGAATTGACTGAAGAATTATCGCCATTTCATGTGAAACCGATATTTGAACTGATGACCCAATTTTACGAAGTTCGTTGACCTACGATTCATTCTTCCGAAACGCAAGTACTTAATTAACGAGACGTGTGGAGTTGATACTGTGTAAATTTTTAATTAACGTTATGTATTTTGTTTTGAAGAACTTGCTCGTGTAAGTTTGTTTTCTTTTGAATTGATAAGATTGCTTTGTCATTGAAGATAGATTCAGTTATTTGTACATTTTGTAGTATTTTTCTCTTAAAACTTTGTCACTTTTTGATATCTCATACCGATTGTGAAAACCAACCCTTAGTCGAACCAAATTTTGTTTTGTTGTAAAGTCATTTGAATTTTTGATTCTTTTTAGTATTGATTGCAATTCTACGTACAAGAATAACCATTCGTGTCTTACGTTAACCATTGCTTATGCGATATATTGTGCAACGCGAATCATTACCCTTCTTATATTTTTTTGTTTTTGTGTCTGACTGTTTCAGATTTGCAGTTTCGCGTCCTCTGAGCTCGGAAGGTTGCGACCGGAGTTCAAGGTAAATTTAGTTATTTTCGTCGTTTTTCCCTTTTAACGTTTGATTACATTTTGGTTGTTGATACTAACGAGTTGTGATTATTACTTTGTTTGAAAGTCACTTAATGATTATAGCTCCGTTGTTTCTGCGGAAGCCCTTTTGGATAAATATTTTCCCCAGGCTACGTGTTGGCTTCTCATTTGTTTTATTAGAGATTATTTTAAATTCCCAGTTTGATATACTAGATCGATATATTACAGTGTCAGATTTGTGATATTTTGAGATCTTTGTTATTAAACTACCCGCATTTATGACATCAAATACTGTTTGTTTTCCCCATAATTGTGTATTCCTTTGAGTTTAGTAAGACGAGAACAAGGATCTCTTGGTCTGCCTTGTTCATCCCTTTAGTATTCCTCTCTCTCTAAATTCATCAAAGACTAAGTGGCGCCTATCCGGATTACTTTTACTGTTTCCTTCCCTTTTTGGCTTATTTGTGTGTGTATAGAAGAACCCCATTTTCACCCCGACCCACCTCTACTTTACCTGAGCTTACCGTCTGCTTATCTAAGGTAATTTTGTCACGTTGGCCCAAAGTGAACGTAACAATCGTATATACTTTTGCCTCCAAAAGAAAGACAGTTTGTGATTATTTTCCATTTATGGAATCTTTTTTCTTTACTAAATGTAAATTTAATTTAAAATGTGGTAAGTGATGCAAATGAATGATGCTTTAGACCAGAGGTGGCCAACCTTTTATATCGTTTGATCTACTCCACACAAGTAAGATCCTTCGCGATCTACCAGCTACTTTTACTTACTAATATGAAATAGGTTTTTATTTTGTTGGGGTGATGTAAAAAAATTCAATATTAAATGCAAAACATTTATTAAACTAAGATGTTGAGGTTGACGCATGACATTGCATATTTTCAATTAATTTATGAAATGATGGTTCATAATTACTGACACTCAAACGAATGCAGGATTGTAGATGTTGATCGATCAAACAGGTACGGTATTTCGATTTAATATATTTCATTTGTGAAAAAGCAGCTTCGCAGGGTAAGTTGAACCAAAAAACGCAGTCAAATGAAGTGCCAGAGTTCTCAGACGTGGATAGTTCTCTTCATGAAGTAAGGCCCAGAAGTTATCTTCAGCAGCTCTCGCTTTCATGGGAATGTCTGATTGCAATTTTAGGACTTCTTCTTCAACAATCGAGGCGTCGCTATTAATAATAGAAGCAATTTTTTCGGAAATGCCTTCTACGTTATTTTGAGAAAATGGGAGGCATGAAAACTAATGCTTCGTCAAGTTGTTTCACGTCTTGGAATCGCCTCTCCATTTCTTGCGAAATGTTTTCTATTTCACTAGAATAAGTAGCAAAATCGTGACGAATTTTTTTATGCTTTTCCAACGCTGTTGCTAAATTGGGAAAATTTTTAAAATTTTCTCTTTCAAGTTGTGATTTCAGCAACAACAGTTTTGACTTAAATGCATTTGTGGAAATTCCATAATCGTTTTACCTTTTCCTTGAAGTTCAAGGTTGAACCTATTACAATGGTCTGTTAAATCTGTTAAAAAAGCCAACTTTCCTAACCATGATGCGTCCTGCAGTTGAGGGTAACTTACTCCAGATTCATTCAGGAATAAAATTATTTCAGGTAGCAAATTATTAAACCTTTCCAGGAATTTCCCTCGACTGAGCCACCTTATGTCTGTGTACAAGAGAAGATCCGCATGTTCCGCGTCATTTTCTTCAAGTTGAATACGACAGAGTCGTCTTTGTAAGCTACGCGCGCGGACCAAGTTAACTATCTTCACTGCAATATCCATACTTTCATGTTTATTATTTTAGCACACAATGCATTCTGGTGAATTACACAATGAAAAGACGCGAAATCAGGAAAACCTTCATTTTTGCGGCAAAGTGCGAGGAACCCCACATTTTTACCAACCATGGCCGGTGCTCCATCCGTTGTTATGCATACCAGTTTCCAGAGAGGAAGTTTTGTTTTTTTTGCAAATTCAACAAAGCTACCTTTCAATGGGATCATTGTTAACCCTAGAGTGGACGCGTGAAATAAAATTTCATGAAGGGACGCCTTGGGTCTGAGAAGCCCATGTAGAAAAAGCTTATATAATTGAAACAAAAAAGTCTATCAAGGCAATTTTTAGAAACGACTAAAGCTAACTGAGTAAAACAAAACTTTTATTCAAAATAATTGCACAACATAAGACAAAATTCTGTCAAATTTCACCTAAGCTCTCTCTTAATGTTAAATGAAAACATTTCAAAGATTTTTACAAAAATTTTACAACGAAAAAGGCACTTTTATAAAACTTCATTAACACTAATTAAGATCCTTAAGTTAAAAAATAACAACAACTCTATTTGTATAAATTGCACCAAAGAAAAATACTTTAAAATTGCACTGTTTGATCAAATTCGTGACTTTAGATAATCTATTTCTGAAGTGTTTCCACACATATTGGACAGATATGGGAAGAATGTTCCATACAAATAAATTTTGTGCACATTTTGCAGTTAAATCGGGTTTTCCGATCTTTACAAAAGACACATCTGCTTCTCTTATTGTCCACCGGAATAGTAGGCTCTGTGTACTCTGTACCACTTATCTTCGCTGCAAGCTGTCGTATTTCTCTAGGCAAGTACTTACATGTTACTCTGGCCTTCATATAGTCCATTACCAAACTTCGTCCAAGATCTTTCAAGACCATTCTTCTACATTTCCTCTCTTCATCGTTGGGAAAATTACTGCGATGAATAATAAAAGCATTGATGGCTGTAACATTGAGGAGGCCATAAAATATAACCATCGGCCATCGTCTAGTATTCCGTGCCACATTATATTTTGAGCAAAGCTGATCGACAGAATCCACGCCGCCTTTCGTAAAATTATAGAAAGTTATAATTTCAGGTTTGTTGTCTTCTCCACTACTTTTATCAATCGCATCGTCATGGTGCATAGATGAAAGAAGCAAAACAGTTCAATTTTTTTTTGGTATGTAGGAAACCATAGTCATATTATTATCAAATCCAAACATACTAGATTTTGGTGGTCTGGAGGATTTCAAAAACTCAGGTGGAATTTGTCTCTTATTCTTACGCAACGTCCCTAGCCCTACGACAGTTAGCTTATGATTAGTCAGTAAGTTATTCACTAGGTCCACTGACGTAAACCAATTATCCATTGTTACGTTTCTATTTGTTTGAGATATTGGCTGGCAAATTCTTTCGACTACATCTATGGCTGCATTGCTAACGGCAAATTGACCTTTCGGTTGTTGTCCAAGGTACACTTCTAAATTGAGAGTATAAAAAGTACGAGAGTCAACTAACGAAAATACTTTCAATCCATATTTAGCGGGCTTATTAGGAATATACATTCGAAATCCGCAGCGTCCCCTGAAAGCCAAAAGCATTTCGTCCACTGTGGCAAATTCACCAATGGAATAATACTTTCTAAAGTTAGCCACAATGGCTTCAAATACGTCCCTAATCACTGCAAATTTATCTAAACCTTTTCTGTCACATCTGGTGTGGATGTTATCAAAACGTAAACATCGAAGAAGAAAACGAAATCTTCGTAGAGCCATTGTTGCTGGAAATATTTCAATCCCCGTTCCATCAGTTGCCCAGAATTCGTAAATTGATGTTCTGCCTCCGTGAAGCACACCAGCAAGATACAATAAGCCAAAAACCGCTTTTAGTTCACAAGCATCTGTAGGTCTCGCGTCTGAATTGCTTTTATAATGGGGTGCTACACTTTCAATGAATATGTTTGTCGATTCGACTATAACTTTTATTATATCTACGTCAAAAAATAATTCCCAGCAATCTCTTGGACTTATAGCATTTTTTGCATTGCCAATTACTCCCGGAAGTTTAGTTATAATATTGCATTTCCGTGTACGTACCGTCTTTGGATGACACAGCTTTCTCCAGCGTTTTCCATCTTTTCCTAGGTAGTGCAGTCTTTCCTGATTAACTTCTTCCGCTTCATGATCTGACAGCTCTTGTTCGCTCTCAGAATCATGATCACTAACTTCGCATGTTCCAATATCAGCATCTGAGTCGTCCTCTTCTTCAACATTATCTTCATAATCTGTTAATCTTTTTCATAAGCGTAAGCCATTGTGTTTAACTAAAATTATTCAGTTCAATAAATTATAAAGCATATACAAGAGAAACAAAATTACTTACGGGAAGGGACGCGTTGGGTCTGAAATACCTAATAGCTTATAATTTACACACGCCTTCCACTAAGGTGCGTGAAGTTAGCACGACATTGGAAGCACAAACAATTTTTTTTGTGCCAATCGTTTGTGCTTTGTTTGTGCGTGATTGTGCACGAAAAAGTTTTTTGGCACGTCCCACCATTTTTTAGATATGAGGTACCGTGTTTCCGTGCCAACTTCACGCCATTTTGGAAGCACAAACGAACTTAATTATGTCAATCGTTTGTGCCTTGTTTGTGCTTGACTGTGCACACAAAAGTTTTTTGGTACGTCTGCCCATTTTTTAGATATGGGGTACCGTATTTCCGTGCCAACTTCACGCCATTTTGGAAGCACAAACGAATTTTATTGTGTCAATCGTTTGTGCTTTGTTTGTGCTTGATTGTGCACTAAAAAGTTTTTTGGCACGTCTGCTCATTTTTTAGATATGGGGTACCGTGTTTCCGTGCCAACTTCACGCCACTTTGGAAGCACAAACAAATTTTATTGTGTCAATCGTTTGTGCTTTGTTTGTGCTTGATTGTGCACAAAAAAGTTTTTTGGCACGTCTGCCCATTTTTTAGATATGGGGTTCCGTGTTTCCGTGCCAACTTCATGCCGTTTTGGAAGCACAAACGAATTTTAATGTGTCAATCGTTTGGACTTTGTTTGTGCTTGATTGTGCACGAAAAAAACTTGTTGGCACGTTTTACCTTTTTTCAGTTATGAGGTACCGTGTTTCCGTCCCAACTTCACGCCATTTTAAAAGCACAAACCAAACATGTTTATGTCAATCGTTTGTGCTTTGTTTGTGTTTGATTGTGTAGAAAAAAGTTTATTAGGCACGTTCTAACATTTTTTCAAATTCAATAATGACATATGTTTAAAATTTTATTTATATTTACTATAACACATACAATAAATTGGAAATCTTATTTTTTCTATAATACATAATGTCCTACTAAGTATAAAAACTAAATAAATCATTATGATAAAACTTAAATTATAGCATACGTAACTCTAAATAAAAAAAAAATAGATGTAATTTTATAGAACCTTCAAGTCTTAAATCGAATATATTAATAAATGAGGTAGAATAATGGTGTTCGATGAAACTGTTAATTTCTTTTTTTCTAAGTCATTATATACTTCCCAAGTTCCATCCACTCTGCGACTTAGGCATGTATAGTGACCAATTCGTTTATCGAAATCGTCTATTTTTCCAATTGGTGGAATAAAATTTATTGCTGATCGTAACAAATAAGAACTAGAAGAATATTTAAACTTTACAGATAGGGGAATGTCTAATAAAGAAGTTGTACCGCAATCACACGTATCAATAAACAAAATATTAGACAATTCTGTTGTAAAATTGCATTTATTGAACATTAAGCAGTCTTCTGCAGACTGGATAAGATCTTTGAATCCATTTTTTTTAATAATATTAATATTTATTGGTATTGTTTTAGAACATAATGTTTGATGTGTAACATCACATTCTTTACTATCGCATATATTTGTTGTGCAAGTACTGTGGAAATCATCTCCTAGAAAATATTGCAAAACATTTACGGCGTTCATCGCGCACTCCACACGGATAGTATTATTAATTAAAGTGGTTTTTCGAAATTCAAAATTAGAAGATAGGTAAATTTCCCCTCTCAACTTATAAGTATGCAATTTTGTTGTGCCAGTTGCCAACTGTTTTACTATTTCCACTACTTGAGGTGATAACATCTGCTCCATACAAATTTGCACTACATTGCTATCACAATACGTAGTTGTTAACCCCTGTATTACGGAATCTAACGGACAAGTATCCACAAATCTGTATTTTTTCTTATTTAAATTAACACATTTATGTAATAAATTGCCATTAGTTAAAATACCGATTTTAATTTTTTTGCCTTCGGTGACATGCAGTATTTCAGGTGCTGCTGCCCCATAGTACGACTTTCGTTTCTTGACACTAGTACCTAAATTTCGCCAATTTTCGTATGCATCTGTTTCATCTGCAACAAATATTGTATCAAGTGTCATACTTTAATCAATTTTACACATTACGTACCTTTGATTGTCATAATTTGAAGTTCATCCGGTTCATCATTCTTCTTATTTTCACCCAAGTTTTCTTTATCCGAAGCAACAGAAGTTATAGCTACAAATTCCAATAAACAAGCATGGTATTAATAATTTAAGTTTATATTACATACCTTCACTTTTATTTGGTTCCCTTGTGACTTTTTTTTCATCGTCAGTCGCAAATGTGTTTCCAACTTCATCTGCAAGTAACATCAGCATTTAGTGTGTATAATTTATTAAACATGAATACTTTACCTATCTTCATTTTAGCTAGAGTCATTTGTCCTTGAATTGCCTCATAATGGTGTAAAAAAAATTTATCAACTTCCATTGGCGTGTAATAATTCTTAAACGTGCGATTTTTTAAGTCATTGAAATAACTTTCAACAATGGCAGATGATTGAGTAGCAAATCCATACATAAATGTTTTTCTCATAACACCACTCCATAAAACAAAAGTCTTAAATAAAAATCTTAAGTCAGTAGTCACATTTGGGCAATAATGAAAGTTTTCATTGTCTGTTGACATTGTGCATTGTGTTAACGATTTTTCAAATATGGCATCAAACCAAGATAAAATTTCATAATTTGAATATTCTTCGGACGTTGATTGTAAATTATGTTGATTTGCTTCATCTTCTAAATCACTTGATATCTCTAACGTGGGTAAACCAGAAATTAAGCCTTTTAACTTCAATTTTTGTACTTCACATGGAGTTAAGGTACCTTCATTGTCTGCTCCACTATATTCACTATTAGCGATAATTAACAGGCCTTCTAACAATAATGCGACTTCTTCTAAGGTTTCACATTTTATTAATAATATTATGGCTCCTACATAAAAATCATGTAGCAGTCGAGGGTTTTTAATTGAATCCCATCGGCATATAATATTTATTATGTGAGCATAATCTACTCGTAAATATACCTCAGGCACTTCACAATTTTCATTACTCAACAATTTATAACATATTTTTAAATAATTACTTAACGACATATTTAAAAATGCCCATGCAACTCCCCCTAAAAGTGCTAATGAATGGTCAGTGACTACCACTTTTGGCAAAATACATCCCGATTTAACCCAAGTCTTTAACCAAAAAGAAATAGAATTTGTGTCGTGTGCTTCTGACAGCATTTGACAAACGGGTATTTGATTTTTTCCTAAATTGATTACCGCAGAATACAAAAATATATGACCTGATAATTTTTGTTGTGGTCTTTGCAATTTTTTAACCAACCCCCCTGTAGCATCAATCGCCAAAACAGAAACACTTTCAACTTTATTATAATGATTATATAGTTGCAGTTGTTCTATGGTCCAATAATGTAACATAAATTTGTCTAATGAAACTAATTGTATACTAGTCATATATGGAGGAGAATACTTTAAATTTAATAAATTTTCTATAGGACTTTTAAATTTATCTAAATCATTCATTTTTTTGTCGGAAAGTTCTTGCTTACACTTTCTAAGTCCATTTAAATTATAAATGGATCTTGAGTTGAATGGTAATTTTTTCTTCTGTTGTTGATAGGCTTCTTCCCTTTGCCAATTTATAGCTAATTTTCCATCGGCCAATTCTTTGCCTACTGTTGCTCGTAAATCGCCTTTTAATTTCCTTTTTTTAATGTTAGTATGCAATTGTTCATTTTTATTGCGTATGACAACGTTTATTTCTAATTCTTCATTTAAAGGTCCTTCTTCATTAATCATTTCTAACTGCGCACCGCATTCGCTGCAACTGCCATATATTCTTAAATATGGTCTTGAAGAAGCAGATATGTAGTGTTTCTTAAACCTCCAGATACAATTTCCTGACACAATAGAACTTAACTTTCTATTAATAATTTCAGTCCATCCAGCCTTTAATTTTACTTCAAACTTATTATTACGATAAAACACTTTTGTAGGTCGGATTTTTTCCCAATCGTCATTATTTACTTTAACCATGTGTTTCTCAAAGCATAGTTCTTCATCTTCAGATGTAGTACTTTCAAGAGAAGGTATTTCTTTATTTTGTTGTGCAATGTTTAAAACTTCATGAGAATTGTATCTATTGCACTTTACAATAGTGTATACGTATTTTGGCGATATTTTATGATGAAGGTATTCAGATACTTTTGACCAGACTAAAGCGGTGGGTCGATTTAAGCTAGATAAAATTTCCTCTTCGTGTGTAAGTAAAGCATCTACTATTTTTGCTTTAGACAACTGACTTTCTTTAGGCATTTTGAACTTACTCTTCAATTCTTGCAAATCCAACCTTTAGAATAAAACAATATTTATACATTTTTTAAAATGCACATATTAATATCCAGGGCGTCCCACAGTTTCGACCTTTATTTCTAGGTTTCTCTTTCTCACACAGGCCGTCGATTAATGAATGTAAAAAAATAGTTAATACAAAAGAAAAATACCTTAAAAGGTAGCACTTAATATTAATTGCATTAGGCCCAGTTGCACCAACTAAATTAAGGCGCACTTAAAGTTAAGTATAGCTTAAAAACCGTGGTAACCATTGTTGAGACAATGGTTGCTATGTATTTTTTAAATTTTATTATGCGAAATTTAAAGAAAACGCAATTTTAAAATTTAAGATGGTAATTACGCCCTCTGGTGATAATTTCCAGAACTTGAAAATATTTTCCAGCGATTATTCATGACCGATTTACCCAATAATTTTTTTTACCCCTAAGTCATACGACGAACAGTTCCCGAGATATGGCCGAGGAACAGTCTTATTGGGTCACCCGGTACATACACTGTGGCAAGTTAACGACGGGATGTAAGTAATTAACATAGAAATTTTCTGCGATTCCTGCTCCCCATTTCAACAGAAAAAATAAAAACACTTCCGAATAGATCATTAAAATTAACATTAGATGACACTAAAAAAGTGTGCCTATGCTTTTTTAGCATTAAAGTTAAATTAAACATTCAACAATTGG